AGGTCTCAGCCTCAGCCCCAGCCCCAGCCCCAGCCCCAGCTCCAGCCCTCACCCCTCAACCTCCAACCTCTGCAGGCCGTGCGGCCGCTGAGCCGCCGCCAAGCACTAACCTCGGCTTCGGAGGCACGCTCGTGGTCGAGGATGGGCCGGCGCCCGGAGGAAAGACGCCCATGCGCACATCCGCGTGAGGAGAGATGCCCCTGCGCACGCGGGGCAACTCCAGAGCCGCTGCGGCCCGAAAAGTGCTATTGAGCGGCAGCCGGCACGAAGCCGCTTGTTCATAGAGAGATGGTGTGCCGTGCTGAGGCTAGTTCCATTTCACTGTGGCACAGCTCGCGTTACAAAACCTTGATTTTGACCATTGCGCGAAAAAGGTACATCTCGGTGCCTTCCAGAGGCAGCTGCGACCCCGCCGAGTGGACGGTAACGCACAGCAGGTGGCGCGGTGCGTTACCGTCCACTCCGCTGGGTCGCAGCTGCCTCTGCGCGTCCTGGGTATGTACCTTTGTCGCGCGCCGGAGACGACTCGACGCCGCTGAGATCGGAGATCAAGCTCTGACAGGTCGCACGTCGCTCCTTTGACGCCGACGTGACTCACCCGTGCAGATCACATCAGGACACGGTCTCGACGCGCTCGGTACGACGCCTGCGACCCGTCTCGGGTCAGGTGGCACGACGCTCATCGCGCCTACCAGCGCTGCCGTGCAGGTTGCCACGACGAGGTCGAGCACGCTTCTATACGCTCGCCGAGCCTTCCTTTCCATCCCATTTGGCAGCCTGGGAACGGTGGCGGTCAGAGGCAAAGCATACGAGGGGTGGTGGAACCACATGTCACGGCTACTGCCGGCTCCCTCGACCCCACGATAGCCTCCGGAGGCTGACTTTGAGGCACAATCATCGGACGACGTCGGCGAGTTGAGTCGCGCTCGCGGTAGCCAGATGACCTCTCATACTAGTATCATCGGCCATGGCCGCAGGAAGCGCGGGGGAGGGCGCTGGGAGCAACACGGAGCTCCGTTGGACGTTTTCAAGATTAGCGTGTCAGAGTGAAATGGAACTAGCCAGAGAGTTTTTGTTGCAAGCAGGAAGAAAGAAGGGCAAAGGCCAAAAAAATCCGAAGAGAGGAACCCCGGGTAAAACCCGAAAAACAAACATACCAGCGGGTATTAGATATACATCTCTGATCCCCGGAGACCGGGGTTTCCAGGTCTTTTTGGGTGTTAAAGGGTTTGGATGCTGGGTTGACGGAAATCGGGGGACGCGACCCACTTCGCCACAGACGGTCCCGCGCCTCGCCACTATGACCGTGGTATAGACGACCGCGGCTCGTGTGCGTGCGGCCGTCTTTGTCCGGAGTGAATACTCCAACGCGCTCGTCGGTGACGGTGTCCTCCAACCTGCGCCGCGCTCGGCGAACCTCGACAGCGCTTTCGGATCGGTGGCATGCAGCTCTTTCGTCTCTGTCTTTGCGACAGAAGCCTGGAGAGCAGCTCCTCTGCTGCCCACAGGCACTCTGCACAGTTGACACAGCCTACTGTGCGGCTGCCACAGCTGTGACAGCGATGGGCTCGCCCTCACTGGCCCTCAGTCACTTGTGCTGCGGCTTGTGTGACCTGTGTTGTCAGCCTGTGTGTGAGGACAGGTGTGAGCGACACTGCTCGGCGACTGCCGGCACACTGTGAGACCATGGGTGTGAGGTCAAACCACGCTACCAGCGC